AGCGTGGCACTGCATCTGCTGAGCATCTGGTGAGGGCCTTCCTGCCGGTCATGGTGTGGAGAACAATGGCATCACAAAGTGAGATACAGCAAGCATGCTAACTGGGGTCTCTCTTCCTCCTCTTATAAAGCCACTAATCTAATCATGGGCTCCCCACCCTGATGATCTCTTGTATTCCTGATTATTCCCAAAGGTCCCACCACCAAACACCATTAAGATGGGACTTAAGTTGGGAATTAAGTTTCATCGTGAGTTTGTGAGGGAAAAAAAACACTGAGACTGAGACACATGTTCAGTCTTGGAGCCTCGTGTTTATACAGATGATTAGCATATGGAGATCCTGAGAAGAACGAGATGAACTTGTTGCCTTCACAGCAGTTAGGATCATTTAGTGGAGGGCTCCAATTCTAAATAACTTATTCATCTTTATGAGTAAAGATAATATTTTTAAAATGCCAATTTCTGTCTTGACCAATTGCAGGTACAATTTTTCTCAAGCTAATGGGTCCTAAGAGAATCAAGTAGACTGCAGATGTGACTCTTTCATCACAGATTACTGGTATATCATCTTTTATTTTATGGAAAAGTATCAAAAACAATGTAAATTATTGATAGCCTTTATTATCTATTGTTTGAACCTGGATAATGAGTACCTAAAGCAGTCACCGGGAAAGATTTTTCAGGTCAACAGCGATCTTAAATTGCACATTTGTTAGAAACTCGGCATCATAAATCCACTTTAAGAGTTTTGATTGTGGGGCCAGGGACATTGTGGTAAAGGTTTGCCTGGTATACATGAGGCTCTGGGTTCAAATCCCAGCACTGGGGAGGGGGGGAAGAGTTATGGTTGTGCCAGGAGTGGTGGCAGACACCTATGATCTCAGCAATTTGGGAGACTGAGGCAGGAGGGTAGCAAGTTCAAGGACAGCCTCCGAAACTTAGCAAGACCCTAGGACTTAATGAGACCCTGACTCAAAATAAAAATAAAAAGGGCTGGGGATATAGATCATAGAAAAGCACTCCTGGATTAAATCCCTGGTATTCCCCCCTCAAAAAAAAAATTATGATTGTGCTTACTTTGGCAGCACATATGCTACAGTTGGAATAATAGAGAATATTAGCACAGTTGCTGTATAAGAATGACATGAAAATTCATGAAATAATCCATATTTTATTATAGTTAGAAGAAATAAGTTCTGGTGTTCTCCAGCACAGCAGGGTGAATATAATTAAAATGCATTAAATACCTCAAAATAGCTAGAAAAGAGACTTCTAAATGTACTCATCCTAAAGATATAATAAAATCTTAAGGTGATAGATATATTAATTACCCCAGGTGGAACAATCATTACTCAATTATTACATGAATCAAAACATCAAGTTGTAGTTCATAAATTTGTACAAATATGTGTCAATCAAAAAAAATGAAAAGAGTGTGGGATTTCTAGGGCTTTATTCCCTTGGAAAAATATTCTGTCCTCTCTTTTCATATTTTTTTTAAATTTATGAAAATTATTTTAGAAATATCTAATTGCATGCAAACCATTGCTAAAAGGAGCTAAAAAACAAACATGGTTTTATATATAAATGATAAGGTTCTAAAATCCCTAATTAGAAATAGTCTAAATAGAGAGTTGGCTTTGCAATCTAAATATTATCGGAAAGAATGGCTATAAATCCACTATTCTGAAAGCAAAGTTACTATTTTTATTTCTGCTCTATAAATAGCAGTTATCATTTTGGTTATCCTCGATGTACATTTTGGGAGCAGTTTATCTTAGAAAGAACAAGAAGACAGAACACTGTCAGAGACTGGGAGTTTGTTATTTTTTAAAAACTCTTCTTTAGACAAATTTGGTATCTGGTTAGAACCACTATGAAATTTTTCAAGCTAAAATTATGTGACTACATTATTATATGGAGACGAATTTGGGGGGCTCAATCATCCATTCACTGGAAGATAGTGCCCTGGGCTCAACCTTCCAACATAAGTGAGTAGCCTTCTACTCAAGCTCAAGTTCTTGCTATTCTTGTGCCACACAAAATAATGCTCCCTGGGGATTGTGAGAGGGAACAGAATGACTCAACTTCAAATTTCCATTGAGAGAAGCAATATTTAGGGAACACTGCTTGAAAGAAATGGCTTCCAATCATACCCTCCAGTAGTCTAAAAGCCCTGGACCTGGTCCTGGGTCAAGCTGGATCTGTAGGGGGGCAGGCATTCCCAGCGCATCTTTCCTTGATCACCCACACTGAACTGTGCTTTCCCATAATATAATGAGCCATGTGGGCAGGCAACATAGAAATCAGACATATAAACCCCTCACAAAATGCTGTTCATGCATCGTCCTATTTATGAGACCCCTTGAAATCAGAAACGCCTATCTGATCTTCGTGTTAGGAAAAATATATATACTTGTGAAAAACACTGCCATGTTATCACATTATGGACAAGGTAGCAGCTCTCTTTCTGACCAGACTGGTAGAAAGCTTACATCCAAATACGTGAACCACCAATGAACAAGCAAATGGGTTATAAGGATATAAATTATTCTTAACCTTGTTCTTATTTCTTTTATGTTCCTGTCATTTTTTACCTTTTTTTCTTTAGCTTAGACTTATAACCTATTATCTTTTATGTTATATACTCATATGAGTCACTTAAAGTTTTTCTTATAAGTAGGTGGGATTTAATTATTTTTATTTTTAAAAATTACACATTTAATATTAATGTAATAAATCACAAAGGAAAAGATTAGTAGATTTGATTACATAGAAATCTAAATGATTGGGGCTGGGGTTGTGGCTCAGTGGTGGAGTGCTTTCCTAGCATACATGAGGCACTGGGTTCGATCCTCAGCACCACATAAATGTAAAATAAGGATATTGTGTCCATCTAAAACTTAAGAATAAATATTTTTAAAAAGAAAGAAATCTAAATGATTTATATCAAAAGCATCATTTATCAAAATTAGAAGAAACTGTAAAACAGGAGAAATGTTTGACATATAAATAATAAAAGATTGATGTTTTAGTACATGAATAAATAGTATGTAACAATAAGAATACAACATTTGATAAATGAAATAAATACGGTAAACAGATCAATCAAGAAGTCTGGATGTTGAAAGAAATGAATTGAAGGAACCTAAAAATAATTTGAATTGCTTTCCTAACGTAGACTCCTGGGACTAAAATGGACCCTTCCTGTCCAACCTCCACATCACAGAGGTCAATTACCTTGCTCCAGTGTGCTCAAGGTCGCTTACTTAACCAGTCTTCTCATTTCCATAAAGGAAAGGAAAATTCCCTACTCATTAATCCTCAAGGAAGGAACAGTAAATATGTAAGCTGACTGATAGGAGGTTATCAGTGGGTAGAGTCCATATATCACAAATCACTGCCCAAACAAGACACAGACTCTTGCTCTCTGGAACTTGCATTTGCCCAAGTACAAGGGGCACTGCATGTATCTCCAGTCTCCAGGAAGTAACAGTCCGCCCACTGTCCCTCTCTCTGTTGTTCAGCCTAAGGCTGGGTGGGAAACCTAGCCGAGGCTCCCTTGCAGATTCAATTGCCCATGTACTTAAACCCCCTCCTTCTCCAATGTAGCTTTTACCTGAAATCTGTATTAGGGTAGTTCCTGGGAACTCCCCCAGATCAATAAAGTGGATGCTTTATTTCTCATCTCATCCTGTGTAATCTCAGGTGAAAGGAGGGTTAAGACTCAGTTTCTCCCTGTAAAAATGTGGATATACTGACCAGGATGTGGAATGTAAAGACAAGAGATGCCACGGGAGAGTGGAACACCCTGGGAAGAATTGGGGACTCTCAGTCTCTGCAGCTGGAATGCAGGAACTGATGAGCTACATATCTGACTATCAGGAAAACTTCACCAATCAGGCAACACAGTTATAACATGCAGGCTTCTTATATATGAGCAGGTAGAATTATTTTAACTACCACTTTTCCCCCTGCCTTTTTTTTTTTTTTCATCATGTTCCTGCCCATGAAGGCCTTTAAATTGCCCAGAAGTAGCTAAGATCTATGTGGTTAGTTCAACGTTGCTCAAAATGTGGGCTAGCAGTCTCAGCAAGGTCTGGAAGCTTGTTAGAAACAAAAATTGGGGGTGCCCACCCCAGGCCTGCTGATTCAGAACCTCTGTAATGGATCCTGGGAACCAGTATCTTAACAAGCTACTCAGACAACTCTGCTTACTAACGCATGAGACCCCCATGGAGAACATTGGTGTCTCATGCCTTTCAGAGTCTTCTGAGTGCAAAGACCAAACTGTCCACCCGAGAGAGCCATCCAGAGCTGTGGCAAATATGAGAGAAAGATTCAGGATCAGAGCTGGCCCTGCACTATCCTGCTGTTTTCCTTCAAAGGGACAGGCTCTTGTGGCTACCTGGAAATTGGGTGTTTGTTATACCCCAAGATTCAAGAACAGGAGAAATGGTAGAGATTCTTTGTCCCTTCCCACTAGGGGGAGCTGTGCAGTTAACACAGCCCGCCTCCAAGCAGCTTCCTCAAAAGGCCACAAAGGAAGTTTCCAAGGTGCCTGACCTTCAGGCTCTCTATCTAAGTTGAGTAAATGTGCTCATTTATGGCCCAATCAGGGAGCCTCTTGGTTCTGCTGGTGCCAGGCACAGTAAGCTCACATTTTTATCTCCTGGAGGTTGGTTCTAGTTATACATCCCTGAGGTGAGGATCATCTTAAAGTTGGGGTGAGTCATAAAAGGCTTTACAGAATTCTCAATCTAGGACTACCAGGGATCCCTGGATAAAGCAGTCTGTTCCCTCTATAAGCCAGAAACCTGTGGGGAAAGGGCTAAGTGGTAGGGTTAAGGTATCCTGAACCCCAGCCAAAGCTGGTAGTTTGTTAGAACTAGAACACAAGTCTCCTGATCCCCATCCTCCAAGCTCCCCAACACTGTACAGTTCAATTTACATATTTACCTTGTCCTGAGGTACAAAAACAGGAAGTCATCTCCACCTACCTGTTGGTGCAGTTGTTATCATTATCTGTACTGAGTGCTGCTCAGGAGAGCTCAGGAGGGTGATATTCACTGTATACTGGGTTGCCGGGTACAAATCCAAACACACTTCCAGAACTCGTTCCTTCGTTGTGAGGTTAAAAGATGTTGTGTGATAAAAGTTATCCAGATACCATCGTTGACCCAGAACTTTAAACTGCCATGAGATTAAAAGAAAGCGCTGCATTAAATTTTCTGTTGTCTTGCAGATGTCTAGACTATAAGCAAAATGGAGACAAAGCAAGAAAGTTTCATTTATCTTTACCTATTGAGAATTATTTTTAATACTACAGTGAACTAAACTGGGAATGTACTTACTAGAGTTATTTTACCTTACCCATTGAATTTCTCTCTCAACCAGGTATAAGACTATGACTAAATTGCATAACAGACTAATCTTGGATGAATAAATACATTGCAGAATAATAAAATCTCCTGATGCCCACTCAAGTGTAAAGGACTGGACTAGAGCTATTGGGCAAAAGTCTTTTGCTTTCTTTTCACTGTAAGGAATCCATAGATGAGCTTCACAGTCCACAGTACTTAAACTTTTTCAGGACTACCTCAGATTTTGCAGTAACTGTACAATGGGACTTCAGCTGTTCCTTCCCCTTAGAGCTCTAGTGAAAAGCTTTTCATCCACAGAGTCATTCACCACGCATACTGCTAACCAATCACACTTGACTCACCGCCACTCAAGCAGCAGATACAGAGTTACAGGGGAAGATCCCAGAAGTCAGATGATTGGCCCTGGATCAACCAGTGCATTTTATCTGGTGGAGACCATGGGTTTAGTGTTGGCATTGATGCCAGTATTCCTGGCTATCCTACCCTTCACCCCTCCCCATCCCTGTCAATCACTCTCTTACCCATCAGTCTTCCAGGTCATTTAAGACCTTGACCCATGGTTCATAAGGATTCCTTCCTCCCCCAACTCCTTGAATTCTCCTAAATAACTTAAGTGTCCTCATAGATTAGCCATCAAAATGTGGCCTCAGGGTTCCTTGAACTTGATGCTGTGAACTTCCTCCACTCCACTTCAGTCACCTCAGAGCTGCGCCCCCAAGATCTCACAGAACCCTTCTGGACCATGACTGGTGACATATAACATGTGCTCATGTGTGTTTTGACAATAAGTATATTGTCTTGTGCAAATTGCTTTGGAATGTTTACTTTTTTCCTTTGGACTTAAGACTGTTTCACATATTACATAAATTAATCTTTGTCTAACACATTAAAAACAATCTTGAAAAAACTTTACTTTTCAAGGGCTGGGGTTGTGGCTCAGCGATAGAGCGCTCAACTAGCACATGTGGAGCACTGGGTTCATTCCTCAGCACCACATAGAAATAAAGGTATTGTGTCCAACTACAACTAAAACAAAATATTTTTAAAAAAATTTTTACTCTTCAGTCGCTTTGATAAAATTCATTTATTTTCTTAACCAAGTAGTTGGTTAATGGTCGCAGTCCATTCATTCAATAAGCTTTGCTTTCTCAACTGATTTGAAAAGAAAAAAAATCACCTTCATCATATACTAAGTTATTTGGGTGCTGGAATATATTTCTAGGTTCAGGGTTCTTTCTAATGTGGAAATTTGAATGTTTCACTTGCCATTTTAAAATTCTTTGCATAGATATCAAAATAAAATTCAAATACAGAAGCACAGCATACAGGGCTTCTCACATGGGGCTGCTGCTTAGACTCATTTCTTCTTACTGCCCTTTGCTTTCTCTATTACCCAATATCCTACTCGACTCACCACAGCACCCTCACCCCAGTTCTTGTAACTGTCTAATTCCTGTTCATTTTTTATGACTCAGCATAGCCTTTGCTTATTGCTAAAAAAATTTTCCTAGAGACACACGTGTGCATACACACACACACACACACACACACAGATATCTCCCACTTCATTCTTTATTTTTTTATCAAAGTCCTCATTATACCATGATGTAGTTGCCTGTTTATTTACATATTTGTTTGAATTGGAACTTCCAGGTCCTAATAGATGATATTCTTGGAGTAATCATTATAGAATAAATACTTAACTTTAATTTAATACTTACTGCTCTCTGCCAGATGATTTGCTAGTCACTAAAAATGATAGAAAAGTAAAGCTTAATTCCTGTCTGAATCAACTTGTAATTTGACTTATGTTGTTAAAAAAAATAAAGTTAAATGAGGTCCAATAATCATGCAACGAGTTCCTTAAATATCCTTGTCCAAATATGAATTTGATAGTAAAATAACCTGTAATTTTTAAATGCAATAAAATAAAATATGAGTGTGAAATATTCAGGCAGGGGAAATAATAAGTCACTAAATACAGTGTCTTTCTTTCAATTCAGTCCCTCACATCCATCTCATATCCATCTCTAAAAAGAAAAAGCACAAACTGTCTAAAACTTTATTCCAATAATCTTTAAATGCTATGGATCACCACTTGGAGATCACCCACATTTTTAAGACCATTCTTTGACAGATAGCATAAGAGATCTTCTTACTTGGTACATTCTTTCTGATCCAACTTTCCTAGAATGCCTGTTCAATTTCAAACAAGTTTCATTAAATACTGAAATATTGAAAATTCCATCATCTTCTAAGAGATCATCTTCTAAAAGACAAGAGAGAACACAGGGAAAGGTTGCATCATTTTAGCAAAACGTATCATGGCTAAGGACAGGTGAGACTCCCAACACCTTCAGAGAGCTGGGAGGGCGTATAAAACCAGGAAGGCCATTCACTCCGGCATCAGCATGCTTAGCTTCAAGTCCTGGCTCTACAACTTCCTAGCTGTATGAAAAGCCAAGTCCCTGAACCCTTCTGAACCTGTTTCTCGTTGGTGAAATCTGATAATCCAGCTTGCTTTGTTATATCATAGGCTGTTGAGAGAATCAAATGAAATATTTAAATATCACTGTAAATTAATAAAGCTGTGCCCTTTTTAGAAAGTTAATCGGATCACTTGGATACTCCAGAGTAAAATGTCATGAAGATAAGCAGACAAGTAAGTAGCCAGAAAGCCTGAGAATGAGGAAAACAGTGAATAAAAATCAAAGATCCTGGATTCAAAGTCTCAGGGCAGGTGCTTTTCAACCTAGGAAATGACCAGCATAGATAACCTGACAGGAAGTACTCGTTCTCAGAGAAGTCGGTCTATCAAGAGCTACTCAGCTGTGTTCCCCAAAGGCCATAAAATAATCAGAAGGCAGACTTGTTTCAACCATTGTACAGAAAAAGTCATTTCATCCCTCTGGCAGTTGAATCCATTCCTGCAATGTATTATTTTATTAATGTTGTAAAAAAAAAATACAGGTTTCTTATAACAAACTAAAGAACTCACAGAGAGTCCAGGAGTAACATGGTAATTTTTAAGGAAAAGCAAATTTCCTAGTACACAAGTTTCTATATTTTCTATCAATGAGAAAAATATGCTTGGTTTTTTTTTGTTTATTTGTTTTGTTTTTTAATTTTTGTTTTATGGTTCTGGGGATCAAACCCAGGGCCTCACCAGAACTTCATCGCCATCCCCCAAGAAAAAGCTGAAATGTCTATCAGGCAGAAACTATCTTATAGCTTCCTTTAATATGTATTTTTCACATGGGGAACCTCTGCCACCTAAAGAGGTATCAATGATAACAATAAGTTATCCTAGTCAAAATAGGGACTGTCCACAATATTTTCAATATCACTAACATACTCAGCAAAAGGCAATCAGCTGAGAGAAAATATTCCTGACTATTATTGAAAAATGTATAAATTTGGTTATGAGAAAGAATTTGAAGACCTATCATAAATGCGCTCCCTTACCTTCCCAACTTTTCTTTTAAAAATTTCATAAGGATATCAGAGAAAAAAATAGCCACATGGATGCATATGATTTTGAAGGATACCAGATGTATACATGAAAGAAATATATGTTCGTACGTAAAAAATACCACATAAAGTCTATGCACAAACAGTACGTAAGCAGTTCTGTCTGCAGAGCTCCCACTCAGGATGATGCTCACATTACACAGCCACTACAGTCTGAATTCAGGGGAAGATGGAAGCATGAAGAAAGGTTTCCATTTCCCACACCCACTCCTAACAGATATGACTGAGAATAAGTAAAAATGGGTCAAAATTTGCATTCAAGTTGGGAAGAAAGGCCAGTCGTAGGCAGTCAGGGCAAAAAAAAAAAAAAAAAAAGTACATAAACTACTATTTTTATTGCTAGTAATAATTTCTTAGCACACTGGAGATCAGTAACAAGGAAGAAATTCCAAGCAGAGCCCTGGGGACCTGCTGGTTCCACTGACAGAAAGCCTGGGTTGACAAAAGAGATGGGCCTTCTTCCTGCCTCCTTGATTATAGCTCCATAATGAAGCCAGGCAATGCGGAGCTGGCCCAAGGCCAACAGTTTACCAATTAAGACAGCAAGTTGCCCAGATTAAAGCTCAGGCTGTGGGCTTTCATGCTGCTGCTCCCCAAAGGAGGCTGGCTCACCCAACCAACAGTGAATTCTTCAGGAGGAGATCCGAGATAAGCACATTAATATTATCCAGGAAAAGGTGAGATCAAAAGGAATGCCATCCATCTTATTATGAGGGAAATATCAGACCTAGACAGAACTTTCATCTTCCCCAGACAAGTAATCTAGAAGCCACTCCCACTGCAAAAAAAAATTTTTAAATGGTGGGGCAGGGGGTACTATGAAATGATTCTACTGAGGACAGGGAAGGAGGGGAAATCATGTTTAGGGGGCAAAGAGTGAACATACTTCTGGGGAAAAAAAAATAAGGAAAGTGACGATAGAATTAGGCAGCAACCATTTTGTACTTTCCATTAAAACATTTAAAAACGGGGGCTGGGGATGTGGCTCAAGCGGTAGCGCGCTCGCCTGGCATGCGTGCGGCCTGGGTTCAATCCTCAGCACCACATACAAAGATGTTGTATCCACCAAAAACTAAGAAATAAATACTTTAAAAAAAAAAAAAGAATGATCAAGGTCCTGGGTTCAGACTCCAGTACTAAAAAAAAAAAAAAAAAAAAAAAAAAAAAAAAAAAAAAAATTTAAAAATGGATTTCAACAAGAGAAAAGGATGACACAGAAAAAGAATGTGACAGCAGAGGAAAAACTAGTTGAAAGAGGCAGAAATAAAAGAGGAACAAGATGAGACCAAGAAAAAAAAGAGGAAGTGAAAGTGCAACATCAGAATTCAAAGTGCATTAGAAATGGCAATGATGAGAAATGCCAATCTATAAATGCACTGAGTATACAAATGTAGAGAGAAAACAAGCTTGCTGCATATTCCCGGAAGGCAGAGGAAAAACAACAGACCTTACAAAGGAGGAAATGGGAAACCAACGTGGACAGACAGAAATTCCAGTTAACTGGAAGAGCTGAAAACAAAACTTAAAAAAAAAAAAAAAACTATAATCAGAAATTTAATGAAAGAAAATGTTCCTAGTATATGGATAAACCAAAATAAAGATTAAAAAATCTTACAGGGTAGTAGGAAAACTCAGTTAAAAAAAAAAAAAAAAAAATATATATATATATATATATATATATATATATATATATATATATGAACATTTATGTCCCCCACAGACTAACATTTCATGAGGAAAGAGATTCCTGTCTCTTCCCTATGGAACTCCCAGTGCCTACAACGATGTCAGACACAAAATAAGTAGTCAATAAACACTTACCAGGTGCATGCATAAACAATTAATGTCTTGAATTGTACTGCTAATGTACTGCTAATTATGATATCCAAACTGAAAATCAGATTGCTTACATAGGATTAAAAAAACAAGAGAGAGAGACTGGGGATGTCGCTCAGTAGCAGAGCTCATGCTTAGCATGTACAAGGCCCTGGGTTTCATCCATAGCACCAGGAAAAATAAAAAGCTCCCTTTTCAAAGCTTTAAATTCCCAAAGCCAATGTGAACTGCTTTCAGAATTCTGAAAACAAAGGTTTATGTCTGGAGAATTTTATCTTCAATCAGGCCTTATTCACATGCAAAGGCAACAACAACAACAACAACAAAAACATTCTCAGATAATTATGGGCTCTGAAAGTATCCTATTCCCTCAGTGAGGAAAAGACAAAAATCACCGTTCAGATAGATATATAAAAATAGAGGAAAAATACAAAAAAAGTGGCATTAAAAGATTGGCAGTAAGCACTGAAACTATTGAAACACATACCTAGGGACTGGGATTGTGGCTCAGAGGTAGAGTGCTCTCCTAGCACGGGCAAGGCCCTGGGTTCATTCACCATATAAAAATAAATAAATGAAGATATTGTGTCCAACTACAACTAAAAAATAAATATTAAAAAAAACCCACATACCTAAGCTTAGATAACTGCTGTAAGTAATTGCTAAAAGTCCATATAGACTAAGAAGCTGAAGATAAAATGCCATAATAGACCAAAAAAAATAATTACAACAAAAGGGAGAGGGGAAGGAATCAAAGCAAACAGAGAGGCTGACTTCCCTGTCTCCTTCAGGGAGAAGTTAATAATATTTTCAGTCTTAACATTAGTCATCAGAAATATGCACCCAATTAGGGTTTTCTTAAAAGTGTGGTCCATTGTAAAGTAGAAGCAAAATCTGTACTACCTGACTCATTGAAAAAGAAATTTGTGGAGCAAAAAAGAAAACAAGACATAAAAAGGTAGCCTTAAAAAAGAAAAACAATTATTAAAAAAAGAAAATAATAATAAGATGATAGAAGAAAAGGAAATCAAGTCACAAGTAACAATAATTCGAATTAACTGATCGACTCAAAAACAAAAGCTTTTCTGGAAAGGTTCCCAGCATGTGCTAACTCCTAGAGTTCACCTATATCAATGTGATCCATGAGCCATTTGCTACTAGTGAAAGAATGTGTAATTAAGGTAAGTCACAAACACAAATATCATAACATCAATATGTGTGCAACAAATCAATTAGAATCTCTAAGAGAAATTGAGAAAAATGACCGTGTTAAAAAAAAAAAAAACAGAAGTCCTGAATAACCTTTTTAATAAAGTTGACTTAAAACTAGATCTTACTCCACCCTCCACACTATCAATCAGCAACTACTGAAATGACAAAACTTGGCCAAATAATGAGGCCCAAGAAAATGTCAATCAATCCCCAAAGCATATCAAAATGTAATAAAACTAGAAATTAACAATGAAGTGTAAAAATTAAAAAGGGAAAAAACTACCACTTGTATGACATAATTATAATTAATTCTTCAATCAAAGGAGAAAAATCAAAATAGCAATTATATAATGCTTTGAAAGTAAGGGTAAAGAGAATATATATTAACATTCTCATAAATAATTCTTCAACCAAAAGGAAAATCAGAATAACAATTACATCAAGCTTTGAAACTAAGGATAAACAGAATATGAATCAATGCCTCAGGGATTCTTCGAAAGCTCAAATCCAGAAAGAAAAAAAAAAAACATTAAGGACTTTTATCATCAAATAGGAAAGAATGGGGGTAAATTGAATTATGTATTCAACTCAAGAATTTAGAAATAGAACAATATAATCAACTTAAGGGAAGCATGGAGATGAAAATAATCAAGGTAAGAGAAATTAACAAGTTTGAAAAGGAAAAGACAATTTTAAAACCCAAGAGTTCATTCTTCCAGAAAAGAAAAGTGTAACAAGACAACCCAAGAGAATCAACTTTTAAAGACAGAGAAAAAAAATTAAGAATCGGTGTAACCTGGAATTATGTAACCTATAGCCCCAAAGGAGTTGTAAACAAATATTCCATATGCCATTCTGCCAATATATTTAAAAATCTCTACCAAATGAACATTTTTTGTGGGGGGGGGGGGTAACTGGGGATTGAACTAGGGGTGCTTAATCACTAAGTCACATCCCCAGTCTTTTTATTTTTAATATTTTAGTTGTAAATGGACATATTACCTTTATTTTTTTATTTTTTTATTTTCACGTGGTGCTGAGGATCAAACCCTCATTCTTGCAAGGCAAGCGCTCTACCACTGAGCTACAATCCCAGCCCCAGCCCCAGAACTTTTTATATTTTTATTTTGAGACAGAGTCTCACTACATTGCTTATGGTCTCACTAAATTGATTACAACCTCGCTAAAGTGCTAAGACTGGCTTGGAACTCACAATCCTCCTGCCTCGGCCTCTGGAGGCACTGGGATTACAGGCATGCGCCACCGCGCCCAGCCCAAATGGACATTTTGAAAGAAAATTTAAATTATGGAAATGGACTCAAGAAAATCTAGGAAACATAAACTGACCAAAAATCTTGGGAAAAACTGACAAAGTTGTCAAAATGGACATTTTGAAAGAAAATTTAAATTATGGAAATGGACTCAAGAAAATCTAGGAAACATAAACTGACCAAAAATCTTGGGAAAAACTGACAAAGTTGTCAAAGAAACATTTTCTTAACGAGGTGAAACTTTTATGAGCAAATGTGTCCAACTTTAACCAAAGGGAATCAAACAATGGAATGTGCAGGACTGAAGGGCAGAGAATGACAAATTTATAGAACAGACATAAACAGAGAAAGATGGGAAACGTAGAATGACGATAGAGACGTACCTTGCTCCCAGCTGGGATGCCCCAGTATAAATGCTAATTCTCACTAGATGAACTTGCAAATTTAATCCAATTCCATTTAAAATTTCAGACAGAGGAAAGCAGTCCAAAGACATTAAATAACTCAGCTATAATTGTGCTTGTTCTTCAATGGTTGCAGAGTTAAGATGCAAAATCAGGTCTATCTGACCCCATAAACCATGTTTTCCCCAGTGAAAGTCACTTGAAGAGGTAATCAGATATTTGTAAACAAGCTGACTGAACAGCCAACTGCTATTCTGACTCACAGTGACAGGTAAGTTTCAAGTCCTGTGATGACCTTTTAAAGACACCCCTGTAAATCCACAGCAGTTCATTAATTTTGTAGTTTCTCTAGGTGCATATTAATTTTATGATATCTTTCCTATTATTTACTTAAAAAGAAATTATTTTATTTTATTTCTCTATAGATGCTGAGAGGTCTAGCTTATGTGATTTCATAGTTGCTTTTACATTATTTAGGTTGACAGTCTTTCAATGTCACCTCCCAGTACCTAGCAATATCTGAGGGTTGAGGTAGTTTTTTCTAAGTGAGTTTGTAGGGATCGATTGATTGATTGATTTTACAGTAGAATGCATTTTGACATATTGTACACAAATGGAGCATAGCTTCTTATTCCAAGGTAGATTTTCTTAAGTGGGACATCAAACAGCTAGTTAACTCCCCCAAAATAATAAATGATACCAATGGTTTCTCAAGGTATGTGTATAAACCTGTCTTAATATTAAGAATTCTATTTTTTAAAAAAAAAAAAAGCTTACTGTAATTGTCACAATGCTGTTTTTAAAAAATCCATGTGACAAGTATGCGCAGTGAAGTTTATATTCACTTCTGAAAGCTCCCTTTGGTCTACTCCTCTCTTCTGCTAACAGTGACATCTTATCGCTGCCTTCACTTTTCAACTCTGTAGAAACTGAATAGGAATCTTCCTACTAGACCTGCTATGGTTCTGACCCCTGAAGTAACTATACACACACACACACACACACACACACACACACACACACACACACACACATCTCAGAAAACCAACAGAAACTCTCCTGCCCAGTACATGCTAAAAAGTATATTCCCGGCACCCTACACTTAGCATTTTTCTAGAGGAAATGAGATTTCGCCTCCACCTACCAGCTGTCTGGAAACCAAGGATGGCAGGCACAGAGCGCCTGGGAGGGGCTGTGGAAATGCTCACGGTGTAGTTGGTGCCTTGGTACAGGTCAAGGCACGTCTCTGGGGTCCTGCTGTCTGTAGTCAAGTTGACTATCTCCTCATGAACTGATCCCACAGGGTCCAGCCGTTGCCCTTTTATGTGTATCTTTGAGAGAGAGGAAAAGACAAGAGACCCCACTAGGACGCTGGTCTGATCAACTAAGACTCAAGCAGGGAGGACAAATGGTCAACCTCCGCCATCAGGTCTCTGATGATGAGGTCCGATCAGCCCAGTAATCAATAAACCCTAAGAAGCAACATAAATGAGGAATCTGTCTAGGGAGTGCCACGCTGCCTGCAAATAATCACTGGTAAAGGGAGGAAGTCACAACCCCAGGGCCGCTGGCTGCATTCTGTCACCAACTCAGCAGATGTTTCCAGGCTTGCTCTGGGGAGAGAACCCGAGTGCTTGGAAACAGCAATAAGGATGACACCAACTATAAAAGCAGCCCCCATGTTTACATCCTGTTGAATGACAAACAGATCAAACCCAAAGTACAAAATAACAAAACGATCGAGATATCTTAAAAATTCCAGTCACCTTTTAAAAATGGCAAGGGGATTGGAAAGCAATTAGACTGAGATGTTCTTACAGAACCAAGTCCTTCTGAGTCATATTTCCCTGGGTTACCGTTCCTGCCCCAGCAGGAAAATGATCATTTAACTTACCACGTACACGATCTCTGAGTTTACTCTTCCTGAGCTCGTTTGCCACCTCACACAAGTGTTATTAAACACTGACACTTCATTAATCTCTGTGGGCTTTTCTAGAATAGAAAAAGAGAGTCAACTCAAAAAATGCATCAACAGACTTCAGGAAAATCCTAGTGGTGGATAGTTGATCCGTCCAACTGGTGTCTCTGCCCATCACCATTCAGGCTCTGACTCTGATCAGCGATCTAAGCCGCCCCAGACCGGTCACCCAACTTCTCTTCATCAGGAATGAGTCTGGCCCAGGAGAAGATTCCTGCTTGAGGATGGAGAAGAGTTCCCACCTGCGATTAGTCCCACGGGCCACTGGATGCCACTGGCGTTCCACTCAGGGAGGATGGAGCAAGGCCCAGAGCTGTCCTGACCGGAATCTCCCCTACACCTGCACAGGTCAGATCCACGTCCACTTGCTCATCCCAACTGAGTGGTGGAACCATTCACAAGGGGGCAATGACAGTCACCACCGATCCTTAGGAGCAGCTTGGGGTGAACTAAAATGAATTCTACACAAGGTTCTGGTTACTCCTGGGACTCCTTCAACTGGAGCTAAGTAATCCTGGTCGATTAAGAAGCCATGATTTCTTCGGGTTCTGCTTCTCTTAAGTACTCTGAACCTATTCCATCTAACAATTCTGGTAATGTGGGGAAACATTAGGGATTTGGTTCTCTGAGGGAACAGTTTCCAGTGGACCGGGTCAACCAATGACCTAGGAAGTAGTTCGGATGGGAGTCAAGGGACATCCAAATGTTCATTTCTTTAAAATCAAAGTTCCTGAAGAGAAGCCAAACTATCCCTACTGTACACGATGTCATCTTTCTATACAGAGAGAACCCTAAGGACTGGACTGTCCTTAGGCAGAACCATAAGGCAACCTTACCTTTGGCTCTCCTTCTTACCCTTCCTTCCGATTCTTGGTCTACACTCCTGGATCCTTGAGCTGCATTTCCAATTACATAATAAATATCAGCCCTCTACCTCTGGCTTTGTTTTCCAGGAAACTAAGGCAAGATCCCAATCATGAAGAGTGAGAAAGGTAAATTCTTCATTCCAAAAAAATTAACCCCCCTCAACTCGGCTCTGATTCCTTCCTTCTAGTAAATTTCTTCTCAGGCTCCAAGTGGGAAAGAAAGCCTGAACCTCTGGCATGCGTAGGGTCAATTCACTTTTCCCCTACTCATAACCAGTGCCCAGTGTGGACTGCCCGAGTCTAGTGATCTCTCTGCCCATTAACTATTTTATCTCTACTGAATAATTCCATCCCACACTACCTGGATTCTATGTTCCACATTACCTGTTCTTGGGTAAATGAGAATAAATGGAGTCTGAGAGAGATGATAACAGGCAAACTCCTACAGAGATACCAAAGGATCACCTATGGTTGTTAGAGTTTGGTTCTGGAACATCTCCCAAAGACTCATGTATCTTGGCTTGGTCCCCAGCTGGTGGCACTATTGGGAGGTGGTGGAAACTTCAGAACATAGGGCCTAGTTAGAGGAAGCAGGTCACAGGATGTGGCCTTGAAGAATTTATTTTGTTCCCACACCCTTCCTTTCTCTGCCCACCCCAACCTCTCTTTTATCTCCCTCCCACTCTCTCCCCTCTGACTTACTGGCCACCATGAGATGAGCAAGTTTGCTTCACCATGCTCTCCTTCATGATTACAGCCTTACCACAGGCTCCCCCCAAAACAGCAAAGTCACATGATCATGGATTGAAGCCTCTAAAACTATGAACCTAAATAAACCTTTCTTTAAGTTGATTTTCTCAGGTGTTTTGTCACAGTGACAGAAAGCTGACTAATAGCTGTCTAAAGAATTCCTGGGTCTCTACATATCCCCAAAACACAGATTATGTAAAATCAAAAAAATATTCCAGTTATGGAGATGGATAACGTAAGGATACGATGACCTTGTCAGTTCACCTCTGTGGGTAACATAAAGATCATGTTGGCACCAGTCTTTTGTCAGCCTGAACAAGCCCTAAATGTTCCTGGCTCCTTCCTCTCTGCTGCCCTTCAAAACCCCAGAGCCCTAAACTTTAACTGTGCTTCCTCAAAACTCTCTAATGCTAATCACCACCTGATCTAGAAGGAAAAGAAAGTATCTCACCCCTCACCTTCTCTCTGAGTTGCCAGTAAAGCAAATTTCCTTCTCACTTTGGTTCCCTCAGTCACCCACACAGAGATAAGGAATTTTCTTCTTTGTCCTTCCTTTTTGTTCATTCATTATGACAACTGAAGATGACATCTCAAAGACACCATCTGCCTCCACCTGTGCCACACTCTGCACAGACGGGACCCAGATATGATCGTAGAGATGTCAGATACTTCATCCTAAGGAGCAGTTTAACAAAATTGGATGCAGTTTCTCTTCAGGCATCTATAAATCAGTTGGAAACACCTCTTTACAAACATGTCAGATACTAAACCTCTATATTAATGTTCCCCTTTTAAAAGAGAACCCTTGAGGATATTTGCCCTTATTCCTATAGTACTAATAAAAACATTTCTGGAAGTCTCCTTTGGAACTGCCTCTAGGGCTCTTCATTCACTATTCACCACTAACAAAATGGCCACCAAATGTGCAGCATCCTACCATGCCAACCACTGGACTGTGAACAATGACCTGAACACTAGTCCTTCCCTTGAGGATCACAGTGCCTCATGGAGGAAGAAAACACAAAAGTAGGTAAGTTGCAACTCAGAAGTATTATTACAAAGCTGCACACAAGGAACACAGGCGTAGAGAAAAAGGAAATCAACTCTCAGTGGAGGACCTGGGAGACAAGCTTCCTGGTACTCACGACCCTAATGAGAAGATGGAAGAGCAAGTCTGAAGCCCGGGACAGCAAAAGGGCATGGCATATTCAGAGTGAGAAAAGGAAGTCACATAACTGAGGAGGAGGAAAGATGGGAAGGGAGGCTGCCCAGGGAGCACAGGATCACTCTGGGAAGACGTTGCTTGCCAAGTTAAGTACAGACTCACTTCTCTGAGCAATAGAGAACTAAAAGCAGGAGAATGACAGGAACATATGTTTCTTAGATGACTCGAGTCCATTTTGATGGAAGCACGAGAGCACAGAAGAACTGGAGGTCACAGAGAAGGAATATAATGCTGTTTACTCAGTGATTCCCATACATCACACATAGCTCTTGATAGACTTGATCTCACATTCTCAGCAGTCAAAAGAAGCAAGAGTTAAAACCAGAACAGAGAACATACATCAAGTATTACTGTGAACCAGATACTATGCAAAGTATTTCAATTTTCAAAGTAACCCCATGAGTTAGACATTGTTGTGCCATTTTATAGACCTGAGGTTTAGGGATGTTAAGTAACCGGCCAAAGGTCCTAAAGCTAGGAAGCAGGCGAGTCGGGAGTCTTAATTAGATGTCTCAGACACCACAGCTAAGAGCCTTGACTTTGAAGCTGCTCGGCCAAGAGGTCAAGAGATGGAATGAGGGCACTTATTACAAAAACAAGAGGCAATTCTGAACGAGAATCAATAGGAGGTGAGAAAGAAGGAAGCACGAGGAGGCTAGGCTGCCGGCCAGCCTTAAGCTCGAGCGTCTGAATGGACCTCCTTTTACTGCTCTCCTAAGAAATACAAGAGCGGGCAGACTGGGCCTGTGAGAAAGAGAGGAAGGAGCCCTGGTGAGCCCTGTTGCCAAATCTGAGGTAGCTGCTGACTGTTCAGTCTCCAGAGCTGGGGGTCTGCAGGTGTAGCTGAAGGCAGAGCTGCAGGTGGGACATCCAGGTGGTCCAGAGAGGACAGCAAACAAACACCAAGACCCAAGGGAGCCAGGGGAGAAAGGGCGATGCAGAAGAGATGAAGGGGCTGGCCATGCAAAAGCGGTGTCTAGGAAGTGGAGGGGAGAGAGGATGAAGGAGTGTCTCTCCCTTGAGGGTATCTCCCTTCCCACCCCACAACCTCCTCATCCCAACCTGAGACAGGTTGTCACAGTCTTGGAGGCAAGCTCTGCCTCTCTGTCCCTTTACCTGTGGCTTTCTCCCCTGCTGGCGTGCCCACAGTGTCATGACCAGATCTGAGGTTTGACCTTGGGTAGAGGCAGGTAGAGCAGGCCTGTCCAGCTGGAAGACATTCAGGTCTCAATGGCTTGAAAAATGAAGGCCCTTACAGCCTCCAATGGAACCCTCATGGAATTTGGGGAAATGAAGCCTCAATGGGTGAACAAATATGCACTTTGGTTTTTCTTTACTCTTGTGTTTGGGGAGGGGGTGTATAAACACACAATGCACCTATGTGAAATAAGTATTTTGATATTCTGTTAGAGTCTAATATTGCTCTGTGTGTGGTACTTATCACATTTGTAACTAAATTATAATGCCGTTCATTTTTTTTTAAATGTCTATCGCTCCTGAGCGAGGCTTTATAATGACAAGACCATGCTTATCTCTCCATCCCCAGACCCTAGCACCTTCCTTAGACGTAGACAATCAAAAAATATATGTCGTCTGGTTGGGTGAATGAATAGATGAATGGATGGGTGGATAATCAACAATACGAAAGTTCTGGAAAGGTTAAGAGGAACGAGGACTGAAACTAGAACATAGATTTGGCAGTTAGGTGGTCACTGGGAACCTTGAAGAGAGAAGTGGGATTCCTGGATGCCCTTGTGTCCCTTCAGTAAGCTGAAGAAGAGGAGAGGAGGACACAGAGATGGTGGGCATCGACCACTCTTTCAGAAGTCCCCCTGGAAAGTCAGGGATTCCATTCTATATTCTTTTTCTTTTTCTTTTTTTTTTTTTTTTTTGGAAACAGTAAATGGTCATTCAGAATTCACATGACTCAAAATGATGGTCAAGCTCAGTGCCATCTCTAGTTGAAACAGTACCTGACTGTAAAGGTAATATGATGATCTTCTAATATGACTCACAGACCACTTCCAAAGGCCATCCCCACACAGAGAATCCAATGCATTTTGATAATGGCAACAACACTGAAATCAGGGTACAATTTTCCAAGGTGATTACCTCGAATAAATGCCTGTTTGGCTATACGTGTCTTCACGTGTCTTTTCTTTGAGTCTTAATTTAAAGTTAGATAAAAAGGGTAGACATAGCATGGCTTAGAGTAGGGTTTTCCAGAAATGCATTACACACACTCTAGAATGATTTTTGGTGGCACATGAATAAATTTTTATATGTTCACTGTGTATTGATTTTCATGCATATAGAGAAAATACACCTCATTCATCAAACACATGACATTACAAACACCAGAAAGTACCCTTTACCTATACATTTAAGTTTAAAATATAAGTTCTTTTGCTGGAAGTGATGGTACGTAACTGCAGACCCAGCTACTCCAGAGGCTCAAGTAGGAGGAGACATTATCCAAGTGAGCTCAAGACCAGTCTGGGCAACACAGCCAGACCCCATCTCAAAAAGAAAAAAAAAAATACACACACACACACAAATATATTTAAACGTTATTTTAACAAACCTATCAAGTAAATGATGGTCTTACTATGGAAAACAGGATCAGGATAGTATGAAAATAATTCAAGCTTGGGAGACCCAAGTATAGGAGAGAGAAAGAGAGCGGGCTTTCAGGGTTTATAGACCTGAGTTCAAATCCTTGACCATTTGCTAGTTATTGAATAACCCTGTGAAAACTGCCTGACCCTTTATGAGTCTCAGATTACTCATCTGTGAAACCAAACGAATACTTCACAGGGTTTGTCTGAGGATGAAACAAAATCAAGCATGAAGGTCCCCGGGAGAGCCCCAGGCATGTGAGCTGGTGCTCAGTCAGCAATGCCAATAATGTTTGATGGTCCAAACACTCTTCACATATTCAGACACAATCAGCCATGTGGCTACTTATAGGCACATCCCCATTTCTTCCAGCTGACCTTTCTTTTCCATCTGAAATCTGCAAGGTTGCAGGTGAGCGTTCACTGGGCTGGAGAGGAGGGTCAACAACCAAACAGAAAGAACAAAGGCCAGCAAAGGTCTGTCAGCCTTGGCCGCGGCACCCAGAGCAGGTTAGGGGCCACCGAGAGGATCCTGGCAGAGGATCAGTCTGTGTTCCAGTGGAGACATCACTCTCTTGAGAGCATGGAGGGAGTAGCGTCAACCTTCTAATTATTAACTCAGGCTCTAAACAAAAAAACCAAATGACCTGTGCAGAATGGAAGTCAGGGACAGCCTTATCAAGAATGAATCAGCCTCTTTGATCCTGAGCACCTAAACCGACTCACTGACATCAAGCTGGGGTTTTTGCAGACACTAACATGGTTGCCTAATTCCCAGCTGTCTGGAGTTTCCAGTCCAAACTGGCTGAGAAAAGGGTCCCACCACCTCGTTAGAGTTCGCACTCCATTAAAAACACATTACAGATCCGTGCGGCTAATCCTAAGGAACAAGGGCTCCAAAAATCTTTTTCAGGTGATTTTTAAAAAATCCGTATAAAATGAAGATAAATCATTCCACTCGGTTTGGAACTCGACACTCAAGTATAGGAGAGAGACAAGTATGGGAAGGTGGGAGTGGGGAGCCAAAAGTGAACACTGAGGAAGGCAAACACAAAATGCACAGAGGGAGGCGGGATGGGCGGGAAGCAGGGTAAAGACTTGGGTGGAAGGCAGGGGGAAAGAAGAAAGAAGGGGCCGCTAGGCAAGAGCCATGATAATCAGCATCTCACTACATTTCTAGAAGCTTCTCCTACCTACCCACCCAGAGATCATCTACCCTGCACCATGAATTAATCAGCAGGTAAATCATTCCCTTTATCTGCGGAAATTGAATTTAGATGCCAATCCAGTCTGAAGGCACAGAGGCCTCGTCACAGGATGCTCCCAGCTCGCAGGGAGAAGGCCTTTCTTTCCCCTTAGATCAGAGCTAGCACGGGCCCACAGAAACAGCTGCAGCTGGAGCCGCGGGCTTTGTGAAAGGTGGCAGGCAGGCTGAGGATGGTAATTATAATTAGCAGTTACATAACATGTTTGTTCTTCAAAGCGCTCTACAAGGATGAGCTAATTAATAGCTTACTATGCCCCATGCAGATCCACTGTTTTTTCATGTAGTGACTCATTCTTGGGCCTCACTGAATTCTGAATGGCAGAGGCAGAGAAGCTGGGGCCATGAAGCAAATGGCTGATGGTCCAAAAGCTATACCCAGCTCTCTTATCCAGTGACTCCACGAGACGCTCTGGGTGCTAGGAATGCTGTCAGGAGGCAGCTGCCTTGTTTCCTCCAAATAACGCTCAGAGGTGCTGCTAGAGATTCAGAGAAAGGTTGGCGTGACCATCAGTCTAGTCCAGCACCAGTTCTTCTCCATTTTCTCAAAGAGTTAGACTGAGACCCTGGAATCCCTGATGTTCATTACAGGTTTGCCCTTGCTTCTCTGGTGAGTCAATGAGACCTGTCTCAAAGGTGGAGCTCTGTCTCAGGATTCTCATCCTTTTTGTTTCTAAGATTTCAGTATCCTTTTGCATTGATGACGGAGATGACTGAATGTAGAAATGTCAAGGCAGAATTGAACATAGAAATTTCATACAGGTCCCAAGAAGCAAAGCTGCATTTTGCAGCTATTTCAAGGATGCTCTACCCAAGAACTCCAGAAGTCTTTGAATTTCTGTGCAAAATATTATATGTACATGTATACATGCATTTTGTTTGCGGGGGTGAGGGGGTCTGTTTCCCCTATTGCCCAGTAAATTCCTAGAGGGTAGTACCTCCCAAAGAACCACATACATAACGCATACTAAAGATGTCTATTGAATGAAGGGATGGATTACATCAAATTCCTATCCCCGAAATTAGGAACAATCACTCTATGGACAAAGAAGTCTACAAGTTTTACTTGCTCTGGCTAGACTTTCCCATGGAAATTTTTGGCAAGACTATCACAATTCCGCTGCTAATCAATCCAGAGACCCAAACCAAAGCCATCTTGAGATTTCACTCCTTAGAGACCTGTCTTCAGAACTAACCAAGTTGCAATGCAGAAATATATTCCAAGAGCCATTGAAGACTCTGTGACAACTTTCTGTCACACTCCCTGACCAACCATCACAAATGGTAAGAATGACTGCGTTTACCCACTTTGTCTCTTGGGGACTGAGGGTAAATTGAAGAATGTAGTGGTACACACTTCTGATTCATGAGAAGATCTTCACATGAAGCTCATGATTCAGAAAAAGACTGTCATGTGCATGGTGCTTTAAATTTTTCAAAATGCCCCCATAGATTATCTCATTGGATTCCCTCTCAGCACTCTTTGAAAAAGGAAAGGCACACTTTTTTAATGTTGTCTCTTTTATAGATGAGGAAACTGGGGCTCTTAATTGTTGAGAGCCATCGTGGGTTGTGTGTGCACTGTTGCACATGGCAGCCTAAGGAATAGGAGAATCTGGTGTCTGGGAACTTCCAGTGGACATTTCCTCTACCCACACATTGTAGCCCTATTCAAGCTCTGCCAAAGGTCCCACACAGCACCAGCGATGGGGTGACCTGCTGTAGCCACACAGCCCCTCTGAGATGGGTATGATCTACAGAGATGCCAATCAACCTGCTGACTGAAAGAAGTCACAAAGCAAGACTCCGCCCCTATAACATTATCCCTGCCGTTGGTGTACCTCCTTAAATAAGCCACAGAAGCCATTTTCTAATTGCCTAGCTCCAGCTCCTGTGTGGACTGGACCTATCAGGGGCTCCAGCTTTTTGAAACTATCTTTCTGATTTTGTCTCTTGTTCTTCACTAATTTATTTTAGACTTTAATTTCTTAGGAGGCTTATCCCTCCAAGCAAGCAAGAATTCCCTGGTGAGGTGCTAGCCACCCGGTGATACAGAATGCCTTGCCTAGTGACACACACCTAATAGATGGCAATGCTAGAATTTGAAAAGAAATCCCAAAACTCCTTTTTGCCAGCAATTCCACTTCTGGACATGTATCCAAAATAACTGAAAGCAAGATCTAAAAGATATATTTGTACACCCATGTTCATAGCAGCATTGTTCACAATAGCCAAAAAGTAGAAGCAACCCAAGCGTTCATTGACAGATGAATACATAAAATATCTATGCATACATACAATGGAATATTATTCTGCCTTTAAAAGGAAAGAAATTCTGATGCGTGGCTATACAACATAGATGTACCTTGAAAATATCATGTTAAGTGAAATAAATCAGTCTCAAATAGAAAATGCCATAAGACACCTAAAGTCATCAAATCCATAAGAGACAGATAGTGGGAATGACAGGGTGCCAAGGGAGGCCTGGGGAACTGTAATGAGCATAAAGTTTCAGTTTTGAAAGATAAATTAAAAATGCTGGCAATGGGTGTTCAATAATGTGAATATACATGACACTACTGAACTAGACACTTAAATAAAGTTAAGATGGTAATTTTGTATCTTTACCACAATCAATAAAAGAAAAAAAAAAGCCTGATTTTCCCATCATGTCATCTCTTCTCTGAAAAGCTACCATGCCAACATACGCTAAGTTGGGAGTATGTCCCTCTGAGAAAATGGCTCATGGTGTAAAATTTCTTAGCCCACAAAGCCAAGGAGACAGGAATCATAGTGGATTTAAGGTATTTCGAAAGAGATGCATACGATCTTCTATCCAATTTATCTTCCCAATCCACCTTCTAAATCTTCAGGATTTAGCTGACAAATCTAAAGCCAGGCAGCCACCCGGGTAAATGGCAGAACCAGGCACAGTAGGGAGTGAGGCTGTAATCAGGCCTCACATTTTACATTCCCTGTTCCCCCTGGCTGTTCTGTTCCCAGATAACAGGAGTCCAACAGAATGCAATCTCTACCTGTACAGGTGAAAGTGCTTTCTCTCCAAGTGCCTTTCGATGTGCAAACAGAAGTGATCTTTCCTGCAGGGCTCTCAAAGCCCTCTTGGCAGACATAGTGAGCTACACCACCCAGGCTGGACCTGGGATTCCCCACCAAGATGGCATTCCGCACTTCCGGAGGGCTGCCACAGTCGATCTCTGCAAAGGGAAGCAAAACGTCACTAGAGATGAGCCCCAGCTTCTAATCCTAAATCAGCATTTTGGAAATGCACATTTAATAATCATAAAGGTCACACACCTGGGAAAAGAAAATCCTAACTTTATCAAATAATACAAATGTAGGTTTATAAAATACAGTTGTCAAGAAATACAGCAAATAGGTATGTCTGAAATTTCCAAAACATACACACCTAGCGAATGGTCAAATTATAAGATTATTTACTTATGAAGAATTCCTCAGTCTATGAAATAATACATCGTAGGGTTCTTTAAATATTAAATTGTCTAGAACCTTTTACTATGTGTCTTTAGGTAATTAACTTCTGAGTAGATGATAATGCAATTGTAGCAACTCTTGCCAACTGAATATTAAATGAAATATGTAAGAAATCTCTGAACTTTTTAAGGCAAAGTAATGGAGAAAGCATTTATCTTCTAAACATTCAATTCATATGAACCTTTCAGAGAAAAAAAAATATTAGCAAAGAGGGAGATAGAATTATAAAATTGACATAAAATTTCTTTTCTACAACTCTATCTATTAATAGTCAAGAGACTATTTACAGAGAACTATCTGAAGAAGAAAGATTATGATATTACCATTTTAGACCCAACCAAACTATACTTCACACAAGAGCATAATAAAATCATTTTCTGACATTTTAGAATTTTTAAAAATCCAAATGTGTGTCATTCTTTTTTAAAATGTCCAGTCAGGCTTGGTGGCACATGCCTGTAATCCCAGTGCCTAGGGAGGCCAAGGCATGAGGATCCCAAGTTCAAAGTCAGCCTCAGCAACTTAATGAGGCCTAAGCAACTTAGCAAGACCCTATCTCTAAATAAAATACCAAATAGGACTGGGGATGGCTCAGTGGTTAAGACTGCTGGGTTCAATTTTTGGTAACAAAAAAAAAAAAAAATCCTCTAGTCCAACAAGAAAATGAATTGAAACAAATAACCTAAGAGGGGCTAGGATTGTGAATCAGCGGTAAAGCACTCGCCTAGCACGTGCGAGACGCTGGGTTCAACTCAGCACCACATAAAAAATAAAATAAAATAAAGGTATTGTGACCAATTACAACTAAAAAAATATTTTTAAAAAATAACCTAAGAAAGGGGGAGAAGGCAGACAGGTCTTAGAAGAAATACTAATGAACTATAAAATCAGCAAGATGTACAAATAAGTTTCCAGAATCATTTAAATTGGAATCATAGAGCTTGATGTAACTATCAGTAAAGTATTTTAGAACTAAAGGCCAAGCAATGTAAAAAATAACAACTTGGAAATAAACTTCCAAACTATCTCAATAAAACCTGAGCAATGAGATGTATGGAAGGAGAAAAGCATGCTAATTTTCTCATGTTGTGCAATTGTAGGGAGCTAGTGGATACAATGCTACTCAAGAAAGAATATAAATATAATGTAAAAGGCAGTAATGATTCCAAATGTAACCAATAGTCCCTGTTAGGCCTGAAAACAGAAGGGGAAAAAACTTATGGTGATTATTCTGATTTTTTGTTTTCTCCTCAATTTATAGAAAGAGCCAAGAAAACAAAGCACTCCCGACTTCCAGGCTTTTAAAACAGAAGCATTCCAAATAGAGAAAGTGATAAAATATGTTCCTGCCTTTCCATCAACCATGCTCGGCCTTAGGAACAAGTGGATTCAGAATTAGTGATTTTAGTGGAATTGCTCTCCTCTGTCTCATTATGGATGCTTATTTGGTCTGTTCCAGAACCTCAGTTATTTCCCTACAGGGATTTTCCCAGATCAAGGTCTCATCTGTTGGCACTGTCGTGATCCCAAAAAAAAAAAAAAAAGAAAAAGAAAGAAAAAAAACCCTCAATACAATAGCCCAACTCACTTGACCAGTCTTTTGGCTGAGATTAAAAGAAAAGGAGGCTAGTTTCCAGTCGATAGAAACTGAAGTCATGAGCAGTTACGGGACCAGGATGCGGCAGTCATTTCATAAATCTCCAGTTCTGTCTACTCTCTCGTCCCATGTTTGCTCGCAGGGCTTTGTTCTCTTTTCACACATATTTACCAGACACAGGACCCCCTGCTTTCTTCATGTTTTCCCACATCAAACTTTGTACATATTTACTACTAGCCCCAAACATTCCAAGGCATCAGTTTATTTGTGTGTACATAAGCAACAAACCAAGCAGGTGGTTAATAATTTATAAGACTGCCCAGTCATTGTTGACATCCAAAACATCTTCTAGTTTAAGCCAGGGTTCAGTTACCGCAGGAAGCAGAGTGGGCATTATGAAGAATGCCGTAGTATAGGTTTATGTAGCTGTGCGTACCCTGAAGCTGGAATCCTAAAGAGCTCAGTGGAGAGACTGTGAAGGTATCCCAGCAACAGGTAGTTGCATTAGGGAAGGACGATAGAGCCTAAAAGAATGAGAGTGTGAAAGCCAAACAGCCTAGCTTCCATCTTGGACGTGTCCAAAAATAATGGAAGGTACAATGACTTTAGTTGTGACTACAAGAATTTTTTTATATAGGAGCAAAAATATTTTTCTTTTAAAAATCATCAGATTAGTAAAAAATCATTGACTTGATCTCCAGGAACTAAGCTGAAAAGCTAAAGGAGATGGCCCTGTGGGGCCCTGAACTTGTGACTCTGAATTCCCATCACAGAGTTAGTCAAGTTGGACAGTCCCATAGCAAGAGATGTTTAGAGAGAATCCCAGCCCACCCTGGATTAAACACACAGTTCTAAACAACAGCTGTACACCTAGGAACTTAGGATAAGTATTTGGATTGAAATTCTACCCTACCCCTACTCAGAACTCTTCTGATTCAGTAGAACTGAGTTAAAGTCTTGGCATCCACATTTCTACAAACTTCCAATCTGAATTAAATACTAGTAGGAATGACTACCAATCATCATTATGTGTATTCCAAAGAACCCCAAGTTTACATCCTTACTATTCACGTATAACCCTTCATAGTAAGGACTGTTTTCYCCTTAACTTTTACAGGCGAAGATGGCTCAAATGGTCTAATGACACCCAAAGTCACATAAGCAGTTATGGGTGCCCAATAGTGGAATCAAGAGCTGCTTCATCTCTGAAATCCTACGGTATCTGCCCTCCCACCTCAGTTCATTTCCCTCCACCTGGACTCACACTCTTTCTCTTCCCCATGCACTCCTTCTCCCGTAGACCTGGCAAAACCCTTCTCAATGCCTAACATCCTCCATGACTAACAGAGTCATGGCTTAAAGTCCTTGACCTTTTGTGGTCCATGCTAATTTGTTCACTTACTCACGCACTTATCAAGAAACTAGTACGTGCCAGTCACTATCCCAGTGAACAAAATGGACAAGATCACTGCCCTCATGGAACTTAGGGAAAGAGTCAAGAGACAAAAGAGTAAATCAGGAAGATAATTTCAGATTGTGGTAAAAGTTACACAGGAAGATAAAGTGAGAGGATAGGAAAGACTTTTCAAATAGAGTGACTGGAAATGCTTTGATCTCTTTGAAGAGGTAGCATCTGAGTTAAGATCTGAAGGATGAGAATGATCCAGTCATGTTTAGGACCAGAGAACATTTCAATCCAGTGAAGTATCCAATCCAAAGACCCTGAGAGAGAAAGAGAGACAGAGACAGAGACAGAGATAGAGACAGCTCTTGCTCTGTTCCGAAAAGGGCAAAGTGACTGGAACCCAGTGAGAGAGAGAGAGGAGCATAAGATGAAGGTGGAGAGAAAAGCTGAGCCAAACAGCCCTGTCAGTTTGGGGGGAAAAGCCTGGCTGGGTCTTATTTTTAAAATCAACAGAATTCTCTGGGAGAGTTTTGAGCCAAGGAATGAAATAATCTGACTTAGGTTCTTGAAAGAACACTTGGACTAGCAGGTATAGAAAGTATGGGGAAAGAACAGGAGTAAAAGGAGAGAGATACTGGGATGTAGCTCAGTGGTACAGCACTTTCCTAACATGTGTGAGGTCCTGGGTTCAATCCCTAGTATTAAAGGAAAAAATAAAATAAGATAAAAGAAAAGAGAGAGAGAGATCAGTCAGGGTCCATCGCAATAGTCAAACAGAGATGATGATGTCCACATAGACTTCCAAGATGYGATGGAGATGGAAAGAAAATAATAGATTTGAGATGTATTCCAGAAGCAGAACTGGTGAACTGGATGTGAAGGTAAGGGAGGGGGTGGAATCAAGAATAAGTGTATTACCTATGTTGGGGAGTGATACTGGCCAAAGTATACTGTTATGTTGTGTGCATGTATGAATATGTAACAATAAATCCCATCATYACAATGATGATTCACCAACAAAAAAAAATGTGGAAAGAAAGAATAAGTATCATCTGTACTTGAAGATACAATAAGTAAATAGCCTTTTATTTATTTACACAAATAATATCTATGATCTTCATTTGGCCTTTGTTTCCTACCTTGAGGATTTAGTGTTTTATGAATATTATGTCTTCCCAAATATATGGACAGTTCAACTTTGCTTATAATTCTTGTACCCCACAATGCCTACTTAAAACAACATTTTACATAGTAAAAACTCAGTGCACAGTTATTTGTTGATAGCTTGCTATGAATTTATCATTACTCAAGTTGCAATAAGACTTTATCATTATTCAAGTTGCAATTTGATATGATAACAGCCCCTTAGGAAAGGAAACAGATATCACYAAATTGCAAGTATAAATAACAAGACAGACATTACTTCTGTGTCTGTTATCCAGCAGAGGTAACTCACACCTACCAACACCAAGTAGCTGAGAAGGAGACCCACAAAAACTTAGCATCAGCCTTGTACCAGGGAATTCTAGGAAACCTGCTCAAGCCTCAGTGATTTTAAAAACAATAGCACTTACTGAAATCCTATCACACACAAAGAAGCCTGCTAGATATATACTATCTTTTATTTCCCAGAGAAAATATGGGATATGGGGCGGGGGGTCCTCAAGTAGTTTACAGATATGAAGACAGAGGCCCTAAGG